TTTAAAAAAAAAAAGAAACCGGACTTTTTTTTTTTTTTTTTTTTTTCTATCTTAGTTGAAAAGTGGAATGGCATCTGATCACCTTTGAAGAGTTAGCTTCGGAATATCTTGGGTAGCCCCAAGTATAGAAGCACACAGAGTATCCGATATGTAGGTTCCATTCCCAGGTTTCTAGACCTTTCCTGACACTGGTTCTAGAATTAAGTATTCTTGGATAGAGTGAGAGAACTACTCTGACTTTGTTCCAGCATTCCCACTAGGCACTGGTTCCAGGACCCCTATGGATATCCAATTCAGGGGTGTTCAACTTCCTTTATAAGAGAACACGGTTTAACCAGGCATGGTGGCGCACACCTTCAATCCCAGCACTCAAGAGGCAGAGACGGGCAGATCTCTGTTAGTTTAAGGCCAGCCTGGTCTACATAGTGAGTTCCAGGCCAGGTGGGGCTACAGGGAGACACTGCCTCAAAAAGACCAAAAAAAAAAAAAAAAAAAGAGGGCATGGCTTAAACCAGACATCATGTGGCACATGCCTGTAATCCCAGCACTCACAAGGCTAAGATGGGAGGATCAGAAATTTAAGGTCATGGTTGGCACTGACTGTGTTTTGGAATGTGATGTTGATAGGGTCAGGACAGGACACTAGAGGTTAGAGGTCACTGTGTTATCGTGATAAAACAGGAAATATATGGGAACATATGAACTAGGCAGGAAATGAAGAGAGGATGAAGTCAAATGATCAGGGCAGGAATTGAGGGTGACTAGTATTCATTACTATGGCTCTGGTCAGGGGTTAGAAAAAGTTCGTTAACTCATTTAGTCTAATGGAGGAGAGCACCATCTACTGGTCAAGGGTGAGTGCTTTGAAATGTTTAGGGTTCTGCTTTCATCAACAAGTGTAAAGCAAGAATTTTACCTTTGTGTCTTTTCAATCAAAGTAGTTGTAAAATCTACTTACAAACAGCTTTGAATGTGTTGCTATCATCAGTTTGATGGGGAAGTAGGTCCCATTAACAATATAGAATCTAGGGCTGGAGAGATGGCTCAGTGGTTAAGAACACTGGCTGCTTTTGCAATGGACCTGGGTTCAATTCCCAGCACCCATGTGGCAGCTAACAACATGACACGGGTGCACTAACACACATGCACGCAATACAGTCATACACATAAAAAAGTAATAAAAATATTTTTAAAAAAACAATATGAGGGTCTGGAGAGATGGCTCAGCAGTTAAGAACACTGGTTGTTCTTGCAGAAGACCCGGGTTTGAATCCCAGCACCCACATGGCAGCTAACAACTGTCCGTAACTCCAGTTCCAGGGGATCCAATGGCCTCTTCTGTCCTCCTCAGGCATTGCACAACACGAGTGCACTTACCTACATGCAGGCAATACACATAAAATAAAATAAATAAAATAAAAAACAATATGAAATCTGCAGTTAGCGAACATCACATATAAAAATGGGGTGGGCACATAAAAGACACAAAGTAAACATATTTCATGTATTACACTGCTGGGGCAGATGATTCTTTGCTGTGGGGGGGGTCACGATGTGGCCTCATTAAATGCATCAACCCTCCCACACCCAGCATCTGGCAGTGTTGGGGTGGGGTGATAAGTGATTAATATAACATTGATCAGTCACGTGCAAATGTCTAGCTGCTCCCAAAAGCTTCTGGAGAGACTGGTTTTCAGTTCCCCCACTAAGGGAGGGCTAGGATGTAGCTTAATAGGAGAGTGCTTATGCATAAGGCCCGGGCTCCACCCCTGGCTCTGCAGTAGGGAGAAGGGAGGGTTGAGAGAAGACAGTGAGATAGCTCTGCTGTCATATTCCATCTCAGTTTTACATGACTAAAGTCACCCTTGATAAAGTTCCCTTTTTGTTTGTTTTAACCTTACCTTTGATCACTTGGCTAAGGTATCTGCCAAAAATTTCCACTGTAAAGTTACTATTTTTCCCTTTCTATAAATTTTTTTCTTCCTCAAGTCCAACCTATACCCAATGGAACAAATTTAAGGCCTCAAAGAGAGAAAGTCTTAACATCTACAATGTGGAATTCTTCTGCTGATCTGTGTACCTGGAGATGTGTGTGTGTGTGTGTATGTGTGTGTGTACGTGCACGTATGTGCATACATGTGGAGTCCAGAGATCAACCTTGGATGTATTTCTTCGAGAATTATCCACCTTTTCTTCTTGTTTTAAAAAATATTTCTATTTATTATTTTTATTTTATGGGTATGAGTGTTATGCCTGCATGTAGGTGAGTGCACCCGTGCTGTGCAATGCCTGAAGAGGACAGAAGAGGCTGTCAGATCCCCTGGAACTAGAGTCACAGATGACTGTTAGCTGCCATGCAGGTGCTAGGAATTGAACCAAGATTCTCTGTAAGAGCAGCCAGTGCTCTTAACTGATGAGCTATCTCTCCTATTAATTAATTGGTACGGACCCATGCATATTTATTTTCTATTTCATGTTACAATCAATAGTATATTATGGGGCTAGAGAGATGGTTCAGTGGTTAAGAGCACTGACTGGCTGCTCTTGCAGAGGACCTGGGTTCGATTTCCAGCACCCACGTGGTAGCTAACAACTGTCCATAACTCCAGTTCCAGGGGATCCGATGCCTTCTTCTGACTTCCAAGGGCATTGTACAACACAGGTCACTTATATACATGCAGGCAATACACTCATACACATAAAAATAAAAATAGCAATAAATTTTTTTTAAAAAAAGGAAAATCGCCGGGCATAGTGGTGCACACCTTTAATCCCAGCACTTGGGAGGCAGAGGCAGGTGGATCTCTGTGAGTTCAAGGCCAGCCTGGTCTACATAGTGAGTTCCAGGACAGCTGGGGCTACAGGGAGACCCTGTCTCAAAAAGACCAAAAAAAAAAAAAAAAGAAAGAAAGAAAGAAAATTATCTGGTTGCCTTTTGGTTTTGGACCAAAAAAAAAACCTGGCAATAAATTAAACTGTTACTTTCTAATGAATTGCCTGGTTTGATTTTGTTTTTTGTTTCAGGGACTGACTAAACATCGGAATATTCTGATATGAAGTAAAGGCTTACATTTTCCTCTATTTTTCCCCCTCAAAATTTTTTGGAGACATAGTCTCCCTGTAGCCCCAGCTGGCCTGAGACCCACTATGTAGACCAGGCTAATCTCAATTTCATGGAGATTCACCTGCCTCTCATCCCCAGTGCTGGGATTAAAGGCATGAGCCACCAGTCCTGCCTCTATTTTTACTTTTTAAAATTTATAGTGTGCGTGTGTGTGTGTTTGTGTTTGTGGGTGTACATTATGTGTGCAGGTGCCTGTGAAGGTTGGGAGTTGCATTAAATTCCCTGGAACTGAAGTGACAGACTGTTGTGAGCTGCCCAATGTGGTGCTGGGTGGGAACCCAACTTGGGTCCTCTGGAAGAGCAGCAAGTGCTCTTAACTGCTGAGATATCTCTCCAGTTCCTATTTTTAGTTTCTGAGAACCCTCTGCACTGATTTCCATAATGGCTATGCACCCATCTCCAGTGATCACCAGCTTCTCTCTCTTTCCTGGCATCCTTTCCAGCACTTGTCATACGTTTTCTTGATCACAGCCATGCTAATTGAGTTGAGGTGGAATCACGAAAGTGGTTTTAGTTTGTATTTCCTTGGTGGCTAAGGATTCTGATATATATATATAGAACCCTCTGCACTGATTTCCATAATGGCTATGCACCCATCTCCAGTGATCACCAGCTTCTCTCTCTTTCCTGGCATCCTTTCCAGCACTTGTCATACGTTTTCTTGATCACAGCCATGCTAATTGAGTTGAGGTGGAATCACGAAAGTGGTTTTAGTTTGTATTTCCTTGGTGGCTAAGGATTCTGATATATATATATAT